CATACTTATTCAGATTATTAACCAATTACTAATATAATAGAAACTTTCAGCACAACCCCAATACTGATCAACCAACCATAGAGAAAGCTAAATAATCATGTTTGACACGACGAACGGTCAAGCTTATCACTTCATTGGTTAAGTAACAATTAACGATAGTAATAGTACATATCATGATGTGTCCGATGACCGTTACTTGCAGTACGCCCTCACGAATGTATCACGAATCTTTCCATTTAAGGATATACAAAGTATGCAGACAAAGATAATAGCGCGATTTATGTGGGTCTCGAATAATGCCTACAAGCTTGATATTACTCGGATATGTTACGCTATAACGATAACCTATCTCCACTGCAGTTTATGTTTGCGATTGGAATAATAATATCGGTTTTCACCTAAATTCAGTACACGTGTAATATTGTGTTTCACTGAACTCGACCAAAGTTCTCTTCGTACATTCGTATGCCTTTTATACAAATTCAGTTGACCAGCTGCTGAATAACGATACATGCTTTGCTCACATATAATATGAAAATCAAGAGAAGGATAAACATATACGGGAGCAATGTCAGAAGAGAAAGGTGATAGAATATATGGGTACAAACGAACTCTTTTTTATTTTTTTACAGATGCGTAAATCCATTGGTTTGATTAGGTCATCTGTAATCAATAAATAATATTCATATAGTTAATCTATGGAAATAAATCTTTATTGATCCAAACCTATTAATAACATCGTCATTAACACTATATATAACATTTATAATTTTATTGATATTCGATTCGACCTACACCTACAAGCTACCAACTTATCCGTACTTTTGCTGATTATTCATGATTCGATATTGCGATGCCTGGCCATTTATAGTCTCTGTTCGGGTACCATCAGACGATTCTGTGATAAGCGTTACATTGCCCTATTACGATAAAGAAGTGCTGTTAGCATACAGTGTATGCGGTTACGCTTAAACAGAAATCCAAATTCACAAACCTGTGCATCGGTCCTCTTTATGGTAGTCGTTCTGATACCGTTGCTAATCGTTGTTGTTGATGATTCTGTAATAAACCCACTACCATTTCCACCCGAAAATGAATTAAACGAGGTATACGTTGAGGATCCGAAGGTATTTCCGAGTGATGGAAATCCCCCAAATGGGAGTGCTCCAAATGAAAGTGCCCCAAATGGATTTGTCCCAAATGGGTGTGTCCCAAATGGATGTGTCCCAAATGTATGTGTCCCAAATGTATGTCCAAATGGACGTCCAAATGGATCCGTTGGATGAGTTTGCTGTTGGCCACCAGTGAAGAACGGATCATTAAATAGGGCTGTGCCTACAAGTGACCATATCATAAGAGAATTATTCTGGATTTATGTTCAGAAAACAAATGAATACTTTACCGAAGTTGATGCCAAAGAATTGTCTAAATATTTCTTCAGGATCGTGGAACTGTTCATAAAGAAAACCCGTTGATGCGGGTTAGTTTGTCTCAAGTATATCAGAGATTCAAGTAAAATGTTTACTGGCACTAACCACAAATCCAGGGAACATCCCGTTTGTTTCAGGAAATGCGCTTGCCCCGCCATTCTTAAGACCCTCTTCACCGTATGTATCATAAATTTGTCGTTTCTCAGCTAAAGAAAGAAAAAACAATCTTTAGAATTGTCTCATTCTGCATAATTCGTCGCTGTCTACTTCGTAGGATTTGCAAACTTACGGTCACTTAATATCTCATATGCTTCGGCTATTTCTTTAAATTTGACTTCTGCCTCTTCAAGTCTATGGTTATTCTTGTCAGGGTGCCATTGCAAAGCTATTACCCATAAACGTGAAAACAAGACTTAGTAAGCTGATTGTCCGTTGACGTCGCCATGGCTAAAACTCGTTCCATAGCTAATAGAAATCCGAATACGCCTCACCTTGTTTCCGATAAGCTTTGCGAATCTCTTCGTCCGTAGCCTCGGTTGAGATTTCGAGTATGTCGTAATATGACGATTTTACGCTCATATTTTAGGTCAGTGAAAATGTGCGAAAGGGAAAATGTGAATCCTGATACTCTGAAGTAACAATGAAAACATGTATTACTGCGTCGAATATT